CTGAAAATGCAGAGTTAGGTCCCTGTGGGGCACGGAAAATTCCTCGTAATGCACACCAGACAATGCCTTTTGAGAAAGGCAGGGCAGCAGCACTGAGCATATGGAGTTAGCTGGACCCACTGCTGCCTTTTGGCTTCTGCCCAAAGCCCGCGAGGCTCTGGAGCTGGAGGGCACCTCTGCGGACGCTCCTTGCTCGGCCATTGGTTTTGGGAAGCTCTACTGGCCCAAGCTCCAGCTCACACCTAGGGAGCCCAGCTGGGCTTGATGCTGTGTCCAAGCTAAACCCCCCGACCTCGGTGCTCACTGTAGCAGCATTCAGACCACTTTCTGCAGGGCCACCTTAATTCCCTCCTCCCTCTGTGAATTTGGCTGCTGCCTGAGACCGTCTATACAGAACACTTCCCCCCCAGGAGCAGGACTTTTTTTTTCTGGTATGGTGCTCTGTTAAGTCAGACTAGGTGCATCTGTCTGCACAGATGTGTCACACTGTCACACAGTTTGGTTACTTGAGTGACTTATTTCTTTGTTAGGCTGAAAGATCCATCTGCTTTCTACTTCTGTTTCCTTCTTATGAACTCCTGCTGTGTTGCAGGAAGACCCCTCCTTCTAAGGGGGTTAGGACTATATCTACAGTTTTTGTTTTCATGTTTTTTTTCTTATACATATCTGGTGAAGATAAATATATTGATCATCTGTTTTCAGTCTATTTTGGATTTACTCTCATGGATTAGTGATCATCTTAAAAAACAAACAAACTCTTGAAGAATTCTAGGTAACTTGTAAGCTCTAGCTGCTCCAAAAGTTAAATTCATTCTAATAGCATTACTTATCTTGATTTTCTTTTCATTCGTTGTTGGTTTGAGAACATTTTCCCAGCACACACCAACTTCGAAAATTCAGCTAGGCTCATACTTGAGTGAGAACATCTGGGATAGGGCAAGAGAGTCATCTGCAGTTACAAAACAAGGTTGATAAGCCGGGTGCTTAAAATGCAGTGCATGATATGAGAAATTAGACCCTAAGGCTCCTAGTTTCATATCAGAGTAACCATAGCAATGTGGTATGTGTTCGTGCAATCTAAGTTCATTTTGTAGGTTCAAACTGGTTTAAAATTTGAGTGAATAAGCCTGTTTCTTCCCTGTAGAGCTTATGCTAGATTGAATATCTGCTGTCGTGGATCAAGTTTCCATTGCTGGCTGATCCAGCAGGGACAGCAGAAGTTTTAAACACAACAGCAATATTAAGACTTCAAAATAATGTTGTTCAACAGTTGTGGAATTTGGTTAGACATACTGTAAAGTAACTTGCAGTATCATTTGAGGTTCATGCTTTGTCCCACATAGGCTTTGTCTCCATTTTCCTCAGTCCTGCCATTTCTGCCTGTGCTGATGTAAAGAATGGCTGGAGATATCGGTTATATAGACCAGTATTTCTAAAAGAGAGCAGGCCATCTGTTTCATGGGCTGGAAGGGTTAGTTTATTTCAATTTTTAAGTATTCAAGGTTGGTAAAATACCTAGTTGGCTGACTTGTTTATCGCAAAGGGAAACAGTTGGAAAATATATTTTTGCATACTTGCATTTCCTTAGGCTTTACTCTGAACTATCTTTCAAAGCTTTTTTATTGTACCTATAGCACAGAAAAGGGGGAAAAAAAGGAAGGAAAAAAGGCAGCAGATCTGATTAGCATCTAAGAAAACTTGTCAACCAGGATTTATTGTCAGAGTACTTGCTGAATTGCTTTCATCCCTCTGAAAAATGAAAAATCAGATGAGATGTCCAAAAGCTAAAGGTAATCTGTAGTATGTAAAATGCGTTATACCATTTGCTGTTTCAGATGTTCAGTGTGCAAAGAGTTTGTTTAGCTTTTATATTTGCAGATCTACTAAGAAATGACTTTGTTTTTCTTTTGATGGAAAATTTGACTCCATAGGTTTCTTCAACGAAAAAATGTTGTATGCGTATATTAGGAGAAGCGAGGGTTTAACCCAGATCAGTTTACCGTGTAGTCCTACAGTTGACATAGCCAAACTTTGCAGTAGAAGCTTCCCTGTATTTTCTAAGACCAAACCTGTATTTTCTATTGCCCTGTATTTTCTAAAGCTGCCTTAAAGTTGCCTTAGCAATAGTTTATAGATCTTAGGTAGAAAATCATTGGTAGAGGTGTTTTTTTTTTTTTTTTTTTTACTGTGCATGGATCCAAAATAATATCTTAGAGCTCAAAAATGGTGATTGTATTGTTTTAAAATAGCTTGATTTTATTTTTCTCCTGACATTTACAATTTTAACTTTCTTTGTAGGATATTTCATAAAATTGGACTTTGGTGCCATCCATGAAGGTGTAGCTATTTGAATTACTATGCTTTTTAACAACTAAATCTAGACAATTCCTTATTTTTATTTCTCTGTATTCTGCAAAGTAAACTTTCATATGTCAAGAAAGAAGAACAAATAGTCATTGTCTCGTCATTAAGATGATGATAAGAGATCATTTTTGATAACTTCACTTGGTCATTTGTGTAACTTTGAATACCTGTGAGGCTTGTTTGCTTAATTCAAGAGATGTTAGAAGACATTAACCCTAACTGGTTTGTAATCAGAGCTATGCTTGAGACTGAAGTGACAGATCTTGGTAAGAGTTCTCCTTAGTGAAATCTTATGTGATGGAAACTTACCTTGGTGAAGAGTTAGTGCCATTATCAGATGAAATTACTTCTGCTGTATCAAGTTGCTTATGTAATTCTTATATTGCTGATGTTAAAGCATTTTAACCTTCTCTAAAGTAAAAAATCATGTCTGATTCATGCCTCTTGGAGCAGAGTTTCTGGAGCTCTGCTTGCATGAATATGCAACGTTCTCTATATAAATCTTATGTTATAGTCAGTAGGGTGAAAAATGTTCCACGGCAGTTTTTATAAGTCTTTATAAGTAGAACTACATTAAACTATATGTATATATTTTCACATTAAACTATATATGTTCACATAAACATTTTTTTAAAAATAGGCATTTTCTTATCCAAATAGTCATGTGCTGGGATTGATTTCTGGAGTATGGACAATGGTTTTGTACCATCATGCTAGACAAAATGTATTATTCAAAAAAGGTAATAACTTCCAATAATAAGTACTTACAGTAAGTAGACATAAGACAGCTTCTACTTGCAACTATTTTTCCCTAGATAATACCTACATAATATACATTGTCTTAAAATGGAAAGAATTTTGTTGTAGTTTATTGAATATTTCAGTATAGGAAAAGTACATTTGGTCTTTACTGTGAGGAAATTCCTATGCAATGCCTGTTGTTCTATATGTATGCTATTCAAAAATAATCTAGTAGTCAGTTGTTGCCCTAATCGGTTTAAATTGTGGTAATGTTCTTGTTTTAAGGTTACAGATATTTCTGCAGTACAAGGGAAAATGTGTATTTAGAAATGTAAAGGCGATTTGTTGTACTTCTTGAATTTCAAGGAACACAAATGGATTTATTAGTTTTCATGTGCTCCATTTCATTAATTTTTAGTATTTGCTGGTATGATATCCTTTCATCTTAGCAAATGTGGTGGTTTATTGGCTGGTTGATCATTTTAGGCTGTGGGGGTTTGTTTTGGTTTGTCTGTTGTAATCAATTCAGGTGTTCTAGAAGTAAATGCAGTTTTTAAACATAGCCACCAAGAGATTTGTCTTAATGATATCTCTTGAGCATTTTCATTAATAAGTAGCTTGTACTTTTGTCTGTTTTACTACATAAACTCATGTACTCATGTAAAGATCACTTAATATATTTGTGTAAAGAATTGAATTTTTTTTGTTTAATTCGTATATTGTGGAATGCCGTTCAGTGTTAGCCCTGTAGGTGTCCATTTAGGTAAGCTGATAAAAAGCTTTTTTCCTTCTTTTTTTTTCATTTTATTATCATAATGATGAAACTTTTTTTTTTTTTTTTTTTGGCATGTATGGCAGTGGAAAGGACTGTAGCACTTTGTTTTGAGGGTTTTGGTGTTTTGATTCTTACATGATTAAGCTTCCCTTTCAGTGAAGAAGAGAGATGAATAAACCAGGGGAACGTAAGCTGGGAGTAGACATGTAATGCAGGTGACCGTTCTGGGAATAAGAAGGAAATTAAAGTTTTCTCTCTCTAAAATGAAGTAGTATATTAAGAGATTGTATTTGTTCATGAGCAGAACCTGATTGCAAACCTGATTTGCAGATAAATTAAAGCATTTTATTTGTATTTTTTTACTACATTATTCTATTGTAATCATGGTAATCATTTATAATATACAATATTAGCTATATTTTTGTATATTAAAACAATTATGTGTGATGAAAGATTTAAAAATTTTCTTGACCTTGAGAATCAAATTTGCTTTAAGCTTTTTAGGTGTTGTTTTCTGCTGTCTGAGGTGAGAGATAGGAACTACGTGCAGGCGCTTCTTTACTATCCCAGTCTGTCTTCTGGCATATTACTGGGATGAGGAGACCTGAAAAGCCTGAGCCTGCTCCGCTTATCTTTTCTGTGTACCTGTGGCATTGGTCTTAGTCTCATCATATTAGATGAGAAACCCTGCTGGAGATTTTTTTCTTCATGCCTATCAGAACTTTTCTTGTCATGCTGTTCTGGTATTTCTGAAATGCCAAACTATTGGTGGTTATTTTTCCACCATGCCTATTCACTGGGAAGTCTTTTAGCAGAACAGAATTGCTGACTGAAAAGAAACATGTTTTCTTTCAGAAAACCCAAATTGGGAGCGTTAAAAATCCATATGCAGGAGACTGTTGCTAAGAATGTGTATCATGACAGCAAAATGTCTTCCTATCACAATGTCAGCACAATTTTTTTCTAGAATAGTAACAATTCAGCCGAAGCATACCTCTTCTTTGCAGCAGTTTTCCCCCTGCAAGATTTGCTTTGATTATTTTTAGCCAAATAATTTTAACTTTAGTTAAAATACTCCAGGTCAGTATACTGGAGTGCAGCTCCCTTTTTGTTGCGCAAAATGGCGGCGCAGAGCTCGGCACTCTCCCCTCTGCCTGGGCTCCATCACACCGCCCGGCAACGCTTCCTGCCGAATGAGGCCAGCGTATTGCACACAGGGAATAAAAACATTTTTGACCTTCAATCCTTTGCTGTGCAAATGCATCCCTTGTTTATGGAAGCATGAAACATGAGGTTGTAACATGTTACCTCATCATTTTTTGGAGGATGGACTTTTTAGCAGCTAAGTATCCACTTGGCATGGTTAAATGTTACATGTGTGAGGAGCTGGCATGGGCAAACTCTTGTCCGGTGTGGGCATTCCACAGTGCAGCTCTGGCAGGTGACTGTTCTTGGTATTGGGTCCTGTGTGTTTGCCAGGCCGGGCCTTTCCACTCAGCCTTTGCTTGGAGCTCTTCCACCTCAACTCTACCAGGCGCAGGTCGGTAGCAGAAGCTAATGGCTGTTCCCACACTGAAGGGAGCAGCCCTGCATCCTTTCCCTGCCCGCTGTGTGAAAGCTGTGTTTCTCTCTCCCCATAGCAGGGCTCGGCAAGGCGAAGCTTCGGCACGGGTGAATCACTGGGGCTGTGAAGCCGGTTTGGCCAGGGCGCGTCTCCGCCAAAGGGCTTCAGCACTGGTGGCCTCTCACCTTAGCTGCAGAAACCACTACTCTAGCCACACCTCGTGTTGTACTTATGGCTCGTGTGGCAAAGTAGTGGTGGGTGCCTTTTGTTATATTACTCGAGCTATGCCATTTAAGTCCTGCATTGTGTGTAGTCCAGGGGGACAATAGCCGGTTTGGCCAGGGCGCGTCTCCGCCAAAGGGCTTCAGCACTGGTGGCCTCTCACCTTAGCTGCAGAAACCACTACTCTAGCCACACCTCGTGTTGTACTTATGGCTCGTGTGGCAAAGTAGTGGTGGGTGCCTTTTGTTATATTACTCGAGCTATGCCATTTAAGTCCTGCATTGTGTGTAGTCCAGGGGGACAATAATTTGAGGAGAAGATGCTCTTCAGCCTGCATATGCACATTGCCTTCTAGCTGGTCTACACAGTTCTCAGTGCAGATTTGTACTGCACTTCTTCCAGATGCAATGTGATATGTAAAATGAAAACTGTCTTTATGTTCAGGTCGAATAGGGTGAAGATGTAGCACCCAAACTGTCTTGGCTTAGTAGTGGCAGCACCAAGCTTAACATGGGCTAATTGACCTTTTCAAGAAAGAAGGTGATCTGCACGTGAGGGAGGTCGCTTGGCTGGGTACACTCGGCAAAGCATGTTGTGGGCACGACAGTGAAAAGGCCCAAGATGGGTATTTTTGAGAAGGAAGGATTATCAGGAAAGGGAATTAATTGTGCAAGGAACCAGCCATGGCATGGATTCTTGTTACCGCTTTGGCTATTTTATGAACAAATGGTTTTTGCTGCTTTGGCAAATATGCTTGAGTGTATTATGGCTGGATTATTATTTTATCAGTTAGAGGGGGAGAGAATAGACCTTTTGCCTTGGAGATGTGCTGTTGGTTACGTGAAAGTGCCTTTGCTGCATACTGCCTTGGGTGCTTCAGTAATGATGATGTGGCCAATTTGACCTGAAAAATTAGTTGACTGCCTTGCCAGAGAAATGTAAAGTTGCTCTGCAAACTTATCAAGGCTGCAAGAGGAAAAAGAATCATGTTGCTGCTTATGCCACAGTGATGCTATGCAAGATAGTGCTTATTAGTTGTTATTTCTCTTCATGTGTTCTCATTTTATGAATTTCAGGCTGAAATCTGATCTCAAAAATTCTTTGAGGAAACTTGCAGCTACAAATGAAGTTGGAGCAGGGCTTCACATTATGCTGAACAAAATGCTGTCCTGAAGGCGTTCTGAAAAGTCAGATCTGATGACTTTCTTGCCGTGCATTCAAAATGCATGTTTTTGTGGGGACACTGGAAAAAAGAATTTTTACTATGCTGCTAAACTATACTAAACTAAGCCATGTTTACCGAAGAACAGCTTACAGGGAATTATAAACACATCTTCAGCGTAGTGCAATAAATAAGATCAGAACCTTCAAACTAACAGTGAAGTTTAAGTACTAAATGGAGACTTATTCAGGAGTAATAAGTTATTTCTTTGACTGGTTTACAATGCCTGTACACTCAGAGGACAAATGTAGGTGGCTAAAGTGATATTGAGATTTATCAATATCTGTATCTTTATCAACTAGACAAATTAGGTTTGCCAGATACATTAGTTTGGTACTGTAAAACTTATATTGAGTTGGCAAGCTTCGTATTCTCTAAAGCTTTTCAAGCAGATATAGATGCTCTAATCAGTCTGAATCCAGATGTTTTTGTTTCCTTCTAGTACTGCCCTGTCGTGTAGAGAGGATGTTGCAAGACCTTAAGGGACGCCTAAGACTTGAGCATTAAGAAAAGAAAAATCATTAGTAGATTCCTTTAATGGATTCCTAAGTTTTATGATGTAGTGCACAATTTAATTTCTTCTTAATTTTAATGCTTTATGTTCTGTCATGTTAGTCAAAGCAGACTTTGACTGTCAGCTGGTAAGATTGCATTTATTCCCCCTGACAGCACTGACAGTGGTTTTTTTATTATTTTTTCCTTGACAGCCATGTAGAATTTGTTCTTTGTTAGTGTGACAAGTGCTGTGATATAACTGAAGTTATCCTTCTGCAGAGGTGTATAGAAATTGAATTCTATGCAGGAGGAAAAAAAAAAAAAACTTGGAAAGATGCTACGAAACTTGGTACAATAGTTTAGTACACAGCTGCCTTAGTAACATGCTCAGTGTATTTGGGGTTCTGTCACTATTTGAGATTTTCTTTACTTCTTTTTTCTAGTGAAAAGATTCTGTGTGCTTCAGCAGACATGGAATTACCAAAATTGTGCGCATACTGTTTCCTTTTTTTTTTTTTTTTTACTGAGAAATGAAAAATGTTAATATCAGATTAGGATCTTATGTTCCTTGTTGAATTTGTTGAATGTTTTGTAAGTAGAAATTAAATTCTAGAGTACATTATAACTGTAATCCATGAACTGCACTTGTTTTACTTTCACTTTGCCAGCTAATATGTAACCTAGTAAATTCTGTGTTAAATGTACTATGTACTCAAGTTAATAGAATCAAGAGACAGTATGGAGAATCACTGCTCCACCTTGAGGTGCCCTAAGATAGAAAAGAAGGGAAAAGGAAGTAGAGGATTTGGTTGGGGCAGTTAGTCTCCTATAAAATAGGAACTTGTTGCAAAGCAGTTATATCTGTTTGTTTGCTTTTGTGTGCACAGCTGACTGCTGTAGCAGAGCTTTGCTTGGACAGTTTCTCCCTGACATATAGGGATGGTAAAATGCTACCTTTCAGGGAATCAAAGGGAGGAATTTATTAATGTGGCTGTTCACTGATCTTGTTGGAATTATGTATTTTTTAAGAAACTTTATAGTCTTGTTCTCATCATGGTTATTTTATCTACTTAAAAAGTCAGAGACAGACTTTTAGAAAACAGTGAAGTTTGAATCACACAAACATTTACTTTACAATTATTGAAATGATATTTTGACTTTTTCTGTTAAAGCTAATCTACTCTCAAGTTTTTTTTTTTTTCCGCTTTTCATAATGTCTATTTTTTCCCTTCCCTTAAGATCGTGCTGGAAGCATCAGTACTCTTGATTCCTTAGATTTTGCAAGATACTCCGATGATGGCAATAGGGAAGCAGATGAAAGAGTAGCAGGTAAGTTTTTATGTGGTTCAGTAATCATAGTACTCTATCTTTACCATTTCATTTATTGTTTGTAGCAGCAGTATATTTAAGTGAATGCTCTTTTGTTTTTAACACATTATTGAGAGAGCTGGTTTAGAATTATAGCAACTGAATTGGATATAGCTGTTTAAGGATCAGTCAGAGAATTGACATCCATTTTCAAGGCAACTTGATAAATTATTGATTAGCCTCCAATGTGAAATAAATAGATGCTAAAATTAAATATTAAAAATATTTCTTTTATGAGAGTTTTCCAAAATAATCTACTTAGTTCAATTACAATTTCTTCAAGGTCTCTCATCTGAATTCTGAATAAAGCCGCCTACCTAAGCAATAAGCTGACTTTTGCACAAAATTTGCTGCAGAAAACTTAAAATTCTTCAGTGGACATATAAAATATGATTTCAACAGAAGCTTCAAAAACTTTGCATTTCAAATTCCTTATTTGAGCAAAATGTCTCTATGACATCTGCTGCTGAAGTAGTCCTTAGCTGCAATTGAACTTTGAATACTCTACTTTTCATAGTTCAAAATATTCAGTATTGCTAACCTGCCTTTGAAGTCTACTGTTCCAAAGGTTTGTAGTTCTGGAAATGCAATGCTGTATTTTGATTCTTGACTCCTGCTGCATCACCACTGATTTGTCATTGAGAGTGTGTATCTGCAGTAAGTAAAATAAAGCATTATTGCTGTCAGGGTTTGAAGATAAGAGACAAGCTCAAGGATCAGATCACTTCATTATTTTTGAAGATTTCATTAGTGTGAACATAGGCTGCTTTCTCTGCAGCCTTTCTGTTTATATTTTAACAAATTCTATTATTTGCATGCAGTCATAATTTAGAGAGGGAGCTTAAAAAAAAACATAAAAAGGCAACCTCAATATAACAGCCTGTGTGTTCAGTTTGTTCATCTCAGAAGCAGGTCTGGTTTTCTGCTGGCATTTGCTGCTGTAAGCCCCGAGGAGCGGTTCTGGGTCTCCTTGAATTCTGTGCAAGCTGGAAGCCTCCACGGGTTCAACCCAAAGGCCATTTTGCTGTAGTTCAGGTCTTTTCTCTGGCTGATCCTCTCTTACTAGTTTACAAGCATAAAAAAAGACTAATAAGCAGTGTTTTGGCTTCACACTTTTAGAATGATAACAAATTCTCTAATAACATGTTCAATGAAGCCAAACTTCTCTGTAGCCTGATAGTCATCTCTAGGTTCAGTTCTGTTTGTTTTTGTCCTGAAATGTGTCACACAGGCTGTAAATGTGGTTACTTTTCTTTTGGAGGGCTTGTATCAGTGAAAAAAGAATTGGGAAACATCAGGTTCTTATACTGTTTTTACTGCTAAAACTAGGCAAGGAATTTAGATTTATTCTGATTAATTCATAGCATAATATGCAATTCCCTCAAATATTCTACAAGTTTGAGACATCATATAGGACCTTTATAGTTTTACACTTAATAAACAAGGAGGAACTTGAAAATGGCAGTTTAAAAAACAATCAAGCAAACAAAACTTGATTGGTTGCAGGATGCGTTTGAATTTAGGGAAAGCTATGTAAGCATAAGAGGCCATGATACTTAGCTGTCCTTTAGAGAACTGTAATTTTGTAAGAAAATGCCCGGACGCCATTAGTAGTCTTACAGTGTAGAGTTACCTTTATGTTCATGCCTTAGATAAACAAAAGGCTGACACAATAATTTGTTTGTAGAATATAAAATTCCAGTAAAACTGGAAAAACTATTGCTTATAGAAAATAGTAAATATTTAAATC